CCGATCCGAGCTCATATACAAATAAGTCAACCCTTGGTCAAACCTTTCAGATTCGAAGCTTTCAACTGAGACTGTTCCTTCAAATTCATCCCGATTCTCCTGAAAACAAAAACCAACGATCTACATCAGTCATAATACATTACACGGGGCAAGTCATGCCCGGGAACTGGCGATCAAAGTGCAAAAGCTCAAAACGACCGGTCGGGTCGTTACACTAGCCCCATAAAATTTATTGTGTGCCTCAAATTCCAAGCATTTGAGACAGTGTGGGATCAACCGGGCATAATTTTTGACATGTTCAACCGCACGCTCATATGTTACACTGCCCATGGAATCATACACATATATAATTTTATCCTTAAAGTCCAGAATTCCAAAAAAGTAGTGCGTAGATTTTTGGCCCGTCAATGGCTTAAGTCGAAATGGAAAGAATACTTTTCTGGCAGATGCCCATGAGATACCACAGTAAAGGTCGAGGCCTTTTACGTAGTTGGACACCTTTTCATTTGTTGATTCTTCCTCAAACCAACTAAAGTCCGTAAGTGGCCGAATAAGCGCTTCTTCTTCTTCTTCTTCTTCTTCTTCTTCTTCTTGAGCCTGTTGTTTGAATATCCTCTTTCTCTTTGATTTGCTCTTTTTTTGATCCTCCATTCTCTTTTGCTTCCTTTTTCTAATTTTATCCAACTGTTCTTCTGAAGGATGATTACCAGCCAGCTTAGTCATATACTGATCAAAAATTAAATCTGTTACTGCACATCTTGATTTTGGATAAGCTGGAAGGTGATAGCAATATTTTTTGCGCAAGTAATATATGCCCACATCCATATGCTGCAAATGAACAACAACAAATGATAACATGTGAAAAAACTACAAACAGCATGACAAAAACTTAAGCATATTTAGTTTGAAGTGTTAGAAAATAATCTAAAAAACTTCAGCATGTTTGATTTAAAAGTTTTGAAAAAAACTGGAGAATGCATGTCAAAAACTTCAGCACGGTTAGGCTGAAGTTTTAGCAAATAAGCTAAAAAACTTCAGCATTTTAGTATGAATAAAGCTGAAGTTTTCCAAATTACAGTACAAAAACTTTACTATTAAAAAAAAGCTGAAGTTTTGGGAAATACAGTTGAAAACCAATTCAAAAAACAAACCTAATAACTTACTTCATCCGCAAGATCAGAGGTAGGATCCATAAGCTCGGTAAATAATAATTTTGGAATATCAACTCCATCTAATCAGAATTGATTGGAATCATATTCACTGCCATCCATCTTCAACCACTCTATAAATCTTTGCATCAATCCACTGTCTTGATTTACATAATGGAAGGGACACCTTCGTGTATTCTTTCCTACTTTCCAATCTTGCCCCCTTTTCTTTTGTTTATGAACTACGTAAGGAGATCTCAACCAAATACTCTCCATACGAATCATTTTCCCTTTTTTATCTGCTTTTTCTTTTGCTTGCTCTTCCTGCGGTTCCGTCACAACTAACTGCTGTTGTTCAGCAGCAGGGGGAGAAACAACAGCCATCGTGGCAGATGCTTGACCAACTCCCTGCTGTTCACGACGTTCTTGTATCTCTTCACGAACAATAACAGCAGCAGAATTACCTTCTGAACCAGTCCCTTGTGTACTACCAAGTAAAAATGAACATATATTGAAGTTGGGGATATCACTGGTGTCACACATAGGAGAACTGGAAATCTTCCTTCTCTTAGGATTTGGAAGAAGTTGCAATGCATCAGATGAGATCTGCAAAAGCAAGGAAAATATAAATATAAATAAAACTGATACAAAACACACATTAGGAAAAAAAACAGCTTGTAATCGAATTGCAGAAAATAACTACCTGGTCTAAGTGTTGAGACACAGATGATGTTTACATTCCAACAGATCCATTTCCTTTACCTTTAGATATGCCTGTATCTTCATGCGAAAAAAAATATATATAAATAATACTGACTAAATTTTATAAAATAATACCAACACACTTCACACCTGTCTGTGAGCCAACATGTGTGAATAAATGTATTTCTCCTTTTTGATATTGCTGCAAAAGCTCACCAAATTCTTTTTGAGCTGCCTCAAGTATTTCTGAAAAATCATTCAAAAACATAACAAAGAAAATAAAATATGTAAAATTTCAAACTGTAAAAAATATACTTCGATCAAATGTAATAAATTTATGATCTACAGAATACCTTGACGTTTGTCTTCCGCTGTGGTTTCCCCAGGTTGCATGCCTTTCTCGATATCAACATTTCCAGCTTCATTCAATTGTGCACCAACGTCGAGGAGCATTGGAATATTCTGTGGAAGGTTTTTCTCAACTCTACCTTCATTCAATTCAGCATCATCAGAGTGTTTTTGAGTTGTGTCAATTGAAGCACAACTAGTTTCAACTTCCGCTGCATATTCATAAAGAGGGAGAATAGATCAACTAGTTTTTCTATATATATAACATAGTATATAACAGGACATTATCAAAAAGATCAGTTAAAACTTCAATCTCTAAGAAGCCTGAAGTTCGACAGTTACAAAACAAAAACTTCAGCTCTAGTTCGACAGTTACAAAACAAAATCTTCAGCTGAAGTTTTGTTTCATATTTTGTGTTTTTTTTGTTAGTATATTTTTATGAACTATTATAAACTTCACACTTTATACCTGTAGTAACAATNTAAATTCACGCCATGTGCTAGAGTTTTTTAGTGTATTTCTAAACACTTCAGCTCTTGATAAGCTGAAGTTTTTATGTTGGATTCAATAGTTTTTTCGTACAGCTTTTTCAAAGAAAACTTCAGCCCAATGTGCTGATGTTTTTTAGTGTATTTCTAAAAACTTCAGCTCTTGTTTAGCTCTTGATAAGCTGAAGTTTTTGTGTTGGATTCAATAGTTTTTTTCGTACAGCTTTTCAAAGAAAACTCCAGCCCAATGTGCTGAAGTTTTTTAGTGTATTTCTAAAAACTTCAGCTCTTGATAAGCTGAAGTTTTTGTGTTGGATTCAATAGTTTTTTCGTACAGCTTTTTCAAAAAACTTCAGCCCAATGTGCTGAAGTTTTTTAGTGTATTTCTAAAAACTTCAGCATTTGATAAGCTGAGGTTTTTGTCCTACAGTCGACACTTTTGTTATGACTTTTAACCAAAACTTCAGCTTAAAAAGCAGAAGTCATTTACTTCATGCTTAAGTTTTTTCAACAAAAATGTACTTAAAATTCATGATAAAAGACACAAGCATATTTGTATGAACAAAAGTGAAATTATAAAATACTTAATGTATATTCACAAAATACAAATTATGTGCAACCAATCCTCTAATCAAAAAATTCACACACAGTCTCTTCAAAATCTCCATAATCATCTCCTTGTTAATCTTCTGGAGTTTCATAGCCACTATCTTTTTTCTACTTTCCATGAGCCCAAAGATTGGCAGCCAATTCTCTCCTGGATGTCAATGACTGACTTTGATCGAAATTGAAGACATCTTCGTTATTCAACCGCATATCAATAAACTTAAGAGCAAATACACCACAATCAACACTACAAAAAGAACATGAAAAATAGTTAACACAAGGGCAAAAAATAATAAACATAAGATGCATGGTAAAACATATGCGAAACACGTACTTGTTAGTCTGCTGCGGTGAGGTCATCCACTTAATTTGAAATTTTTCCACAGGACTAGCCCTATAAAATTTATTGTGTGCCCCAAATTCCAAGCATTTGAGACAGTGTGGGATCAACCAGGCATAATTTCTGACATGTTCAACCGCACGCTCATATGTTACACTGCCCATGGAATCATACACATATATAATTTTATCTTTAAAGTCCAGAATTCCAAAAGAGTAGTGCGTGGATGTCTGGCCCGTCATTGGCTTAAGTCGAAATGGAAAGAATACTTTTCTGGCAGATGCCCATGAGATACCATAGGACAGGTCGAGGCCTTTTACGTAGTTGGCCACCTTTTCATTCGTTGATTCTTCGTCAAACCAACTAAAGTCCGTAAGTGGCCGAATAACCGCTTCTTCTTCTTCTTCTTGAGCTTGTTGTTTGGATATCCTCTTTCTCTTTGATTTGCTCTTTTTTTGATCCTCCATTCTCTTTTGCTTCCTTTTTTTAATTCTATCCAAATGTTCTTCTGAAGGATGAATACCAGCCAGCTTAGTCATATACTGATCAAAAATTATATCTGTTACTGCACATCTTGATTTTGGATAAGCTGGAAGGTGATAGCAATATTTTTTGCGTAAGTAATATATGCCCACATCCATATGCTGCAAATGAACAACAAACAAATTATAATATGTGAAAAAACTACAAACAGCATGACAAAAACTTAAGCATATTCGGTTTGAAGTGTTAGAAAATAATCTAAAAAACTTTAGCATGTTTGATTTAAAAGTTTTGAAAAAAACTAGAGAATGCATGTCAAAACCTTCAGCACGGTTAGGCTGAAGTTTTAGCAAATAAGCTAAAAAACTTCAGCAATTTATTATGAATAAAGCTGAAGTTTTCCAAATTACAGTACAAAAACTTTACTATAAAAAATAAGCTGATTTGGGAAAATACAGTTGAAAACCAATTCAAAAATCAAACTTAATAACTTACTTCATCCGCAAGATCAGAGGTAGGATCCATAAGCTCGATAAAGAATGATTTTGGAATATCAACTCCAGCTAATCTGAATTGATTGGAATCATATTCACTGGCATCCATCTTCAACCACTCTGTAAATCTTTGCATCAATCCACTATCTTGATTTACATAATGGAAGGGACACCTTCGTGTATTCTTTCCTACTTTCCAACCTTTCCCCCTTTTCTTTTGTTTATGAACTACGTAAGGAGATCTCAACCAAATACTCTCCATACGAATCCTTTTCCTTTTTTATCTGCTTTTCCTTTTGCTTGCTCTTCCTGCTGTTCCGTCACAACTAACTGCTGCTGTTCAGCAGCAGGGGGAGAAACAACAGCCATCGTGGCAGATGCTTGACCAACTCAATGCTGTTCACGATGTTCTTGTATCTCTTCACGAACAACAACAACAGCAGAATTACCTTCTGAATCAGTCCCTTGTGTACTACCAAGTGAAACTGAACATAAATTGAAGTTGGGGATATCACTGGTGTCACACATAGGAGAACTGGAAATCTTCCTTCTCTTAGGATTTGGAAGAAGTTGCGATGCATCATATGAGATCTGCAAAAGCAAGGAAAATATAAATATAAATAAAACTGATACAACACACACATTAGGCAAAAAACAGCTTGTAATCGAATTGCAGAAAATAACTACCCGGTCTAAGTGTTGAGACACAGATGGTGTTTGCATTCTAACAGATCCATTTCCTTTACCTTCAGATATGCCTGTATCTTCATGCGAAAAAAAATATAAATAATACTGACTAAATTTTATAAAATAATACCAACACACTTCACACCTGTCTGTGAGCCAACAGTTGTGAATAAATGTATTTTTCCTTTTTGATATTGTTGCATAAGCTCACCAAATTCTTTTTGAGCTGCCTCAAGTCTTTCTGAAAAATCATTCAAAAACATAACAAAGAAAATAAAATATGTAAAATTTCAAACTGTAAAAAATATACTTCGATCAAATGTAATAAATTCATGATCTACAGAATACCTTGACGTTTGTCTTCCGCTGTGGTTTCCCCAGGCTGCATGCCTTTCTCGATATCAGCATTTCCAGCTTCATTCAATTGTGCACCGACGTCGAGGAGCATTGGAGTATTCTGTGGAAGGTTTTTCTCAACTCTACCTTCATTCAATTCAGCATCATCAGAGTATTTTTGAGTTGTGTCAATTGAAGCACAACTAGTTTCAACTTCCGCGGCATATTCATAAAGAGGGGGAATAGATCAACTAGTTTTTATATATATATATAACATAGTATATAACAGGACATTATCAAAAAGATCAGTTAAAACTTCAATCTCTAAGAAGTCTGAAGTTCGACAGTTACAAAAACAAAAACTTCAGCTCTAGAGCTGAAGTTCGACAGTTACAAAGCAAAATCTTCAGCTGAAGTTTTGTTTCATGTTTTGTGTTTTTTTGTTAGATATTTTTATGAACTATTATAAACTTCACACTTTATACCTGTAGTAACAATTTCCTGCGTATCAAACAAATTTCCCTGTCCAATATTGCTTTCCAAAGAACAACTCGGTGCATGTTTTTCAGTACCAACAACTTGATCATCTGCACCTTGTTGTTGAACATGTTCATCGCATTCACCAGCCGCTTCCTTACGTGTAGCATTATCATCTGCGACTTTACGCGATGGATCACGAGCAGCATCTTCTTCAACTTGATTATCTGCACATTGCTTGCTTCCAACATTCTCAGTTGCTAACTGTTCTTCATCATTTCCATCTCTGCTTAATCTATCAGCACTGGAACGTTCCTCTTCAACTTGTTCGTGAACATGTTGATCGCCTACAAAAGCCGCTTCCTCATGTGTAGTATTTACATCTGCGACTTTATCTGATGCATCATCAACAGCATTAATATCTAATGGATGTTCGTAACAGTCGTTCACCCTATCATATTCTCGATGGTTACTCAAATCAAAATTGCCATCGTCCATTTCATTTGATTTGTTGACAATCTTAAACAACTGTTCAAACTTCTCATCGAAATATTCCTAGAACAAAAATTACTAACAATGATTAATCTGAATAACATCAGCAGAAATAAAAAGACTTCTCTATAAATTAGGTACCTTCACTTTTACAAAAACCGCATCAACAATGGCAGATCGCTCATCCTTTTTAAACTTATCGAAAACTTCGTTCACGATCGTGCTTCTTTCAGCCTTTGAACCTCCGTCGTTAACCTCTAGAATAGACACACAACAAAAATTCAGATATAGAAGAAAACTTCAGCTAAAAAACATGTTCTACTTTTACAAAAACAAAACCAAAAAACTTCAGATCAAAACTTACATAACATATTGTGTCAAGTAATTCATTGTCATCAAAGTCAGATGTAGAACGGTTAGAACGACTCTGGGTACGAGATGATTCGCCAATAAAAGGACTTCGATTCGGTTCTTTTGATCAACTCCGAATACGTGGTGATTCACGAATAACAGGACCTCGATTGGCTTCTTTTGATCGACTCAGATTACGTGGTGATTCACCAGTTGAAGGAGCCGCATTAACTACCTTTGAACGAATCCGGCTACATGGTAGTTGTCCAATTAAAGACATTGAATTCTAATTCCTCTTCTCTAGGAATTATATCCAATACCCTAAAGTTGCGATATCCCTGTTTAATACAAAAAAGTATATTATGAGGAGAAAAAACTAATACATCAACATATTAACACAAAGACAAAAAAAAGTAACTTACTTCATGAGTACTGAACATATGAAAAAGTTCGGGAAATTTAGGCTCTCCCACACATACATAACGTAACATCCTGGGAACCTGAGGGGTATCAAGGTACTCATCCTCTCTTATATACTTCGCCCGAACATCTGGGAAGCGCTCATAGAACCAAGCACATAACGGATATGGAAATCCACCAACTTTATACTCAGTTGTATGTAATTTGTTCTGCTTGTCCAATGCATGTTTCAGTGAATAAATGAGCTTCTCATAAGCCACATTACCCCAAGGATATTCAGCACAAACCTTATCATCTTCAACAATAGATGCATACTCCTCCATCACAGATGACTCGGTATTTTTCCCAAACAAAATTGACTCTACAACAAGAATTTCCATAAGCTTAACAGCATCATCATCACTCTCGCATACGTGTACGTGATTCATAGCATTCGTTGGAATTTCATTGCGAGTCATAAAACTTCGAATATCCTTCAAAGTCACACCCTTGGACTTACCAAAGTACCGTTTCAAAATATTGCTCTCTCGATTAATTGGTTTTTCAACATTATGTGATGTGATCCGCAAACCACACATAATGTGAAAGTCTTCAAGGGTGAAGGAAACATCATGACCAAAAATCTTGAAACTAATGGAGTCTCGATCATTGGTGAATATTCGAGAAAGACACAGACAATGAACCAACTTCATGCTGCATTGGAAATTCTCCATAGCCATAATGTATCGAAATGTACCATTATTAAGCTTATCCCGTTGTGTAGGAGTCAAGAAAGTTGCAATTAATTTCTTCAAATCATGGTTCCCCTTCCAGTAACCCTTAGAGTTAAACCAATCTCCAAACTCAAAAAATCTTTGCCCTGGTCTTGTAGGTGGAGGAGCAGGGACATAAGGACCTGGGGGTATTATAGGTTGTCTAGGTGCTTTAGGTGCTTTGCCTACTTTAGCTGCATTAAGATCTTTAGGTGCTTTAGGAGCCATCTGTTCATAAAAAGTAAAAGATACAAAAAATAACATCAGGACATTATCAAAAAGATCAGTTAAAACTTCAATACCTAAGAAGGCTGAAGTTCGACAATTACAAAGACAAAAACTTCAGCCCTAGAGCTGAAGTTCGACAGTTATAAAACAAAAACTTCAGCTCTAGAGCTGAAGTTCGACAGTTACAAAACAAAAACTTCAGCTCTAGAGCTAAAGTTCACCAGTAACAAACACAAAAACTTCAGCTCCTAAAGCTGGACTGTTACAAACACAAAAACTTCAGCTCCTAAAGCTGAACTTCACCAGTAGTTTTGTTTTTTTGTAAAAACTACAGCAGCTGAAGTTCGACAGTTATAAAACAAAAACTTCAGCTCTAGAGCTGAAGTTCACCAGTAACAAACACAAAAACTTCAGCTCCTAAAGCTGGACTTCACCAGTTACAAACACAAAAACTTCAGCTCCTAAAGCTGAACTTCACCAGTTACAAACACAAAACATTCAGCAAAAAAACATGTTGTAGTTTTTACAAAAAAACAAAACACAAATTAAAATCCAAAAATAATGCCAAAACATGAAAAAAACTTCAGCTCCTATCTAAGGTATCATTGAACTATTATAAACTTCACACTTTAATAGTATCATCTATTTAACTCTCAAAATTTTTAAAAATTTGGACGTCTAATCACAGAAGAATTTATAGAATTTTCATCAACAACATAAACACTCGTTCAAAAAACCTAAAAACACAATCGTAAAAGTAAAACTAATGCACTTATCAAACTAAACTCTAAGAAAATATTTTATCATAAATACATGACTATCAAAACCAAAACCAGAAATTAAATCGTAAAATAAAATCCAGAAAGTTAATGCAATGTACCTGTGATTAAATTGTAATGTGGGAACAACGACGACTAGCAGTTAAAAAATCAAAACAACGACGAAAACTGTTTAATTTCAGAGAAGAACAAATCAAAAAACGCGAATAACGGGAGAGAGAGACAGAGACAGTAGAGGACTAGCGTATACTTGGAGAGAAAGTAGTCTTTTAATAAGAAGGGCAAAATAGTCTTTTCAAATGACTTTTAACAAAAAAACGGGTACGGGTGCAAATAGAAAGACAAAGCGGCTACAGGTTAAAAAGGGGCGCCCATGCAATTTTTACAATTTAAGTCCATCTATAGTGGGCCGGGCTATCAGTTAGAAGAAGGCCCAACCTTTGGTCCATAGGGTCTGATAGTCGAAGCGCCCGGGATCATAACACAAATATCTAGCTGGATTTACTGCTTACCTTTTTTAGCCGTTATACATAAATATAACACTTATTATATACTATTATATATTTTTTATATATAATTATATATTCACCTACTATTTTTAGTATAAGCAGTTGGCATGCGACTATTTAGGTTAATTGTTCTTTTCTAATACATGTCATTGATTGATCCTTCCATGTAGAAATGAAGCATGTTCCGTTTATGCTTTATGTTGACTAATACACGAATTCTGCTATGTTGACTAATACAAAGCCTTTTTTTTTGGGTAATTTAGCTCTGCGTATCAACTCAGCCTACTAATAGGCTAGAATTAACCCATTTTTTATTTATTAGCGTTAGGTATAATAGTATATCACAATAATAATGTGTATATTAAAATATATATCATAACTTTATTTTCCTTCTTTGTGTATATCACAATGTATATCAATTTTTTATTTCCTTCTTTGTGTATATCACAATGTATATCAAATTTTTAATTTCCTTCTTTGTATATCAAGATATGAAATTATACATATAATTGTCTATAATTTATTGTTGTCTCTATATCTAAGTATACTAGATGAGTATTGCTCGTGCATAGCACGTAGGGGTGTCAATGGTTCGGTTCGTCCAGTTATTCTATAAAATTTGTACCATACCAATTTTTCGGTTATTCTATTACGCATAACCAAAATTAGACTTTTCGAAATTGTCTCAATCATGTCAGTTTCTCTTCGGTATCGGTACAGTTCGATTAATTTTCGATATTATTTTAAATATCATATAAAAATCACTAGTAAAAGTAGAATATCATAACATACATATTTTTATAGGACTTAGCAAAACTCTATAGATAATTTTACTGTTTAAATGATGATGAATTAAGAAAATACGAAAGATGGCCAGAGTATAGATCCATCAACTACTCTACAACAATATAAAGGAAACTAAGCAAAGATAAAGAAAAGATAAATCACACGAGAAGAAAAATATGAACTATGTTGGGACTTATGAATAAAGTCTATAGAAGATTAAATATTCAAAAAGATAAATCTAAATTATACGAAAAGAAACATATTCAATACATTGTAGTTTGCCACTCATAACCGCTATAATACTTTGTGTCTTGCTAGTGAATATGTTAGAAATAATTTAGTTTCAGTAGGAGTAGCATATTAGGTTTGGGAATTAGGATTTTGATTTTAATTACTTGTTAGCTTGTAATATTTTTCATAATTCTGTAACGACCCGACCGGTCGTTTTGAGAATTTGCACTTCGCTTGATAGTTTGGGGGCACAAGTAGCTCCGTATGATGTATTAGGACTTGTGTGCAAAATTTGAGTTCATTCCGAGCTGATTTGATATGTTTCGGCGCGAGTTTTTGGAAGTCGGAAGTTGGAAAGTTCATTAAGTTTGATTTGAGGTGCGTTTCATCGTTTCGATGTTGTTATGCGTGATTTAAGGCCTCGAGTAGGTCCGTATTTTGTTATGGGACTTGTTGGTATGTTTGTACGGGGTCCTAAGGGGCTCGGGTGAATTTCGGATAGGTTTGGGTTGTGTTGCGCTCGTTTTTCTTATGTTTCGACGTTGTTTCTTCAAGCATAAATGGTACCACATTAAACAAATGAGCTCCGATTTCTATTTTGATTGAAGCATAAGATCCGTATCGTAATTAAGGAGCCATAGCAAAAAGAATCGTCAAATTTGGACATCGTATAAAGGGAATTTTACATACCTATACACTATTGAAAACTTTATTACCCTTCCTACTCAAGTTTCAATTTAATTACCTCCTATATACAAATTTACCAATTATATATAGTTAGGAATTAAAGAGTATCCCCTTATATTAGGAATCAATTATTTCACATCCTTATTCTCTCTCCCTCATGCGCTCTTTCTCTCCTGCGCTCTGTATCTCTCTACGTCTCTCTCTATCTCTTAATCCCTAATTCCAGTAATGTAGAGCAAAGAAAAAGAGAGCAGCAATTCCACCATTGACAGCCATTAAAAAGTTTTGAAGCTTTGAATTCGAATTTGGATTTTTAAAAAATATTATTTGTTTGAATTGGGTGTTGTTGCAAACAATTGGGAATTCTCTCTACGTCTCTCTCTATCTCTCAATACCTAATTCCAGTAATGTAAAGCAAACGAAAAGAGAGCAGCAATTCAACCATTGACAGCCATTAAAAAGCCTTGAAGCTTTGAATTCGAATTTGGATTTTCAAAAACCATTATTTGTTTGGATTGGGTGTTGTTGCAAATAATTGGGAATATTGTTGGGAGTTTATATATCAATTTTGAGGGTGTTTTGGTNAAGAAGAAGAAGAAGAAGAAGAAGAAGAAGAAGAAGAAGAAGAAGAAGAAGAAGAAGAAGAAGAAGAAGAAGAAGAAGAAGACGACATGACATACATTATAATGCAGAAATTGTAGTAAAGTCGTAGTAAAATTGTAGAAAAATTGTATGCTGTTGTTTATATATATATATTTTTTATTTAAATATTGTATGAAAGTTGAAAAATATTGTATAAAAATTGTATTTAAGTTGTATGATATTGTAGTTGTATATAACTGAGTAGAAATAATGTATAAAAGTTGTAGATAAGTTGTATAATATATAATTAGTTGTATGAAATTTATTTTTACTATGTATAAATCAGATAAAAAATATACAAAAGACATATTGTATAAAATTTGTATAAAAATTATATTTAGGTGGTATGATGTTGTAGTTGTATATAACTGGGTAGAAATAATGTATGAAAGTTATAGATGAGTTGTAAAATATATAATCAGTTGTATGAAATTTGTTTTTACTATGTATAAATCAGATACAAAACTAGTACAATTTTTGCCCTTTCAACTTGTTATTTGACAGCCGATGGTAGAACAATGTTGGAATACTAGTCAGATCTCTAGGAACTCCTCCAGACAAGAAATTATGAGATAGGTCTACAATTCTTAAAGGAATGTCACTAACCCCAGAAGGTACAGGACCTTCAAGCAAATTTTGTGACATGTTTAAATAATCAAGCTTTGAGAAGGCAAAGCTCATGTTTGCTGGGATATGTCCATTTAATTTGTCATTAGGAACATCAAAGGTCTCTAGATGGAGGAGACAACTTGTTGGCAACTTCTTCGGTCCAATCAATGAAAGCATTATCTCAAGCATAAAGGACTCCAAGTCTGGTGTTATTCTCTAACAACCAGGTTGGAAAGTTTCCTGGCGATTGATTTCCATCAATAGCAAGAATTCTCAAGTCATACTGGTAGTGAAGGAAAGAAGGCAATTTCTAAAGGTTTATACATCCCTGAATAGCAAAAAGCTGCAATTGAAAATTTGGGATCCTATTCTGAAATCCGGTGTCTGTAGTTATTGTATTAGAGCCAACATCCAAGTATGTCAGTTTTGAATGGCTGGCCAACTGCTTGAATGACAGTGGAACTTCAAATAGGCTTAAATTGCTGCAAGGGTGGAAGATCGGGAGAGAAAAGAGGAAAGAGGAGAAAAAAAGGAAAAAAAATATAGCTAAATTCCTTAATTGTAGGCATTAATAATAGATTGGGAGCCTTTTAAGGTGGAATGTATATATTTTGTAAACAAAACTTGTTTAGGTCGAGTAATTAATTAAACGTGGACATTTTTGATAATAAAGTTTCCAATAGTGTATAGCTATGTAAAAATCTCTATTATAAATGCTTCGGTACAGAAAGAACAAGTCGAAATTTTGTGGGAAGTACCTCATTTCACAATATCTTGTGGGATTGTGTTTATACTTTACATTAAAATAGTAAATTAATTTTCTAAAAAAAGTTCAAGTTATATAAAATTGTACAGTAGTTTGTAGAACTTTACCTAATACTTAAAAATTTAAAGTCAACTAATAATAGAACTTATTAAATTGCAAGTTGATAATAGGTGAATTTGACTATAATCACATCTTAAATAATCACCTTCTTGTGTAGTTTTAATGCTAAAAGTGATGACAAAATGCTCTTATTAGTGCTTTTCATGATTTGTAAGTGATATATGTATAAAGACGGCTAAGGAGCAGTTTTGGAGTCAAAAGTGATGAAAAAGAGGCCAACTGTGAAATTTCCCAAGTGACCCGTGCAAAAAACAGGCCGAAGATTCAGAGAACTGGATCCACCGCGGTTCCACCGCGACCTCGGCAGAACCGCGGTGGGAAGCAGCTGCAGAAGATTGAGATTCCGCGAGGGTGTTTGGCCGCGGTTCCACCGCGACCGCGGCAGAACCGCGGCAGGCGCAGTAAACTTCAGGGACCAAAGTGTCAATTACGGGATTTTTAGACCTAAACCCTATTTAAAATATTAGACTTCGCCCAAGAGAGGCATGTATTGATTTTTAAGGTTTCTTAGGAAGGAAAACCATTGTGAGAGAATACTCTAAGCATCTTTCTTCTTTTCTTTTAATTTTTATGATGAATTCAATCTTAGTTTCTTTTCCCATAGCCATGAGTAGCTAAATTCCTTGTCTAATGTTTTGATGGAACCTATTGGGTGATGAACTTCTTGTTTATGTGAATACAAATTGCTAGTTTAATCTTTATTTGTTCAACTTCGTGTTCGTTGTAGTTAATTGACAGGATCCTCAATTAGCTGTGCCTATTTAGTGTGCATAACTTGGAAAAGAGTGCATATTTAGGGTATTGTTGAACAACACCACTCCTAGATTATTAGAGGAATCTATAATTGCGGGTTTAAAGGCGGGATTAGGGATAACGAAGCCTTGGGTGTAATCTAAAGTGAATCGTGCTAAATAAAGTAAGCTAGTGTATCTCGGGAGAGTGCAATAGTAAATTACTGTGATTACTCGGGAGAGATTTATGGTAAGATTAGCGTTCATGATTGATAGAGATGTGTTGGTAAATTTGTTTGAGTATAAACAGAAGGGATTCCATCAATAGGGGAAATCATTGCCTTAGCATTTTTCTCATAATTGTTTACAACCTTATTAGTTTAGTTTACAACTATTTAGTTACTTGCAAGCTAGTTGTTAAAGAACACTCAACTGAGATTTGAATATTTGGGAAGCTGGTTCTGAAGACTTAGTGGGTCTGAAGATAGCGGTTGATAGGTTAACTCTCTGTGGATTCGACCCTGGGCGTAATACTCGGGTTATATTTGCAACGTCCGCAGAGTCCTTTTTATAAGGCATAGTTGGGCGTGATCAAATTTTGGCGCCGTTGCCGGGGA